GCAGCCCATCCCTTGCCGGAAGCAGTATTCTCAGGTTTATCTCACACAATTACGGGTTTTTCCCGTTTTCTTTTGAGTTGCACGGTCTGTTTGGTTCCCCAGAAAACGCAGGAAATTTTTGAAAGTTTTTGAGCTTCTGTAGGGTTTACTAAAGTGAATACTTGACTAGGTTCAGTTGGGTTGCTGATAAATTCAAACAACGAAATTTAGACGCGAATGCTTTTAATTGATTTGAAGAGAAGTTTCTGAGCTAGTTTATTGCTTTTGAATGTTCAAATTGGATCCTATAAATGTGTCTGTGTGATAATTAGATGATTTGTTGCTTGCAGTATGGAAGCACGAGAGAATTCCATATATGTGATGATGCCAGTTGATGCCTTTTGCATTGATGGTACAGGGCGTCCAAGGATTAGGAAGTAAGGTCATCTCCAACCGAAGGGTCCAGAGGGCCAGAGGGCCGAAAATAGCCCTAAAACCGTCTCCAACCGAGGGCTAGGCCAGAGGGCTCTGGAATCTGGGAGGGCCCCACGGGATCGGAGAGGGCTGGAGGGCTGGCTGCTTTCGGCCAGCCAGCCAGCCCCGGGCTGGCTTATTTTTTTTTTAATAGTTCTACTATTAGTGTCGGTTATAACCGACACTAATAGTTTGAATGTTTTTTAATACAACGGCTAGTAGCCGTTGTATTATTAGGCCTTTTTTTTTTTTTTTTTTTTTTTAACTTTTTATTTTCCCTTTTTTTTTCCTTTTCATATTAATCAAATTTTGTTTCATATTTTTTTTCAATTCTATTTTACAAAATTTGTTTCAATTTTTTTTTAAATTCTATTTTTTTCCTATAACTTCTATTTTACAAAATTTGATTCATATTTTATTTCCTATAACTTCTATTTTACAAAATTTGATTCAAAATTTGTTGACGTCACCTAGCCGTTAGATTTGAATTTAAATTGTAGTTTTTAAATAATAAATTATGTTTGGCCCTATGGCCCTTTGGCCCTCGGTTGGAGACGGTTTTTTGTGACAGGGCTAAAACGAGCCCTCTGGCCCTCTGGCCCTCGGTTGGAGACGGAGGCAAATATGGCCATGTACTGTTTATTAAAATATTAATATCTTGGAGAATCTTGGAGGGCCAGAGGGCTAAAACGAGCCCTCTGGCCAGTCATCGGTTGGAGATGGCCTAAGTTTTATTATGACTTTATGTTGATGAGGCTATGATGCATTTTCATTCTTAATTTAATTGTTGTACTCTTTTAAACGACAGAATATGATTAGCTACAAGGTTGCAGCTAACTATTTTGATCTGTTCCCAATTCAAGTTATGTACGCGTACATTTCAAAATGGTTCTAAATAAAATTTATTTTTAATTTAGTTTCCTTTCAAGTGAGACAGAATCTCCTTATATATTGCACGATTTATTGTTGTTTCAGAATCAAGGCCTTAACTGTAGCTCTGAAAGCACTCAAGTTGGCTGGTGTCCACGGAATTGCAGTTGAGGTTTGGTGGCCTCTTGCATATGATTGGTCTCTATATGAAGGGCTTTTCAAACTGATTTCTGACTCAGGTTTGAAGTTGCATGTTGCCTTGTCTTTTCACTCAAACGTTAACTCTTCTTCTAGCAGAAAAGGGGGTGTAACTCTTCCGCTTTGGATCATAGAGGTTTGTTTTCTCGGCAATTTTGAAATCCCATTTGACTGTTTGGCCTTTTATTGGTAAAAGTGCACATGGCTGTACTGGAATGATTAATTTACCCAGTCATACTCTTTTGTGACAACATAAGAAACATAACCCATTTGGATGACTAGAGATAGTATCAACTTTTCTTCAGTTTCCTGCTCTGCAACATGCTATGGTCCTGTGTTCCCCATTAGCATACTTGATTTTAGCTTTGATGTGCATAAAAAGTTTATCTTTGCAAAGGGATGTAACAGAAAAATGATAGTTTGGCCTTCATTACATGCCCATCAGTTTGAATCCTGAATTTAGATAAAGAAGTTGACCTCTTCTGTTTTTTTTTTCCTCCCAGATTGGTGATCAGAATAAGCATATATATTATCGGGACCAAAATGGATTTTCCAATGATGATTATCTTACACTTGGAGTTGACCATGTTCCTCTCTTTTGCGGCCGGACTGCTCTCCAATGTTATGAAGATTTCTTGTCAGGTTTTGCTAAGAAATTTGAATCCTTAATTGGAACTGTGATAGAAGAAATTGGTGTTGGTCTTGGATGTTACTGTTACACTAGAACCACAAGTATGAAGCCAGTCCAATGATTTCTTATGCAACATTGTTACATTGCTCACACTGATATCCTGCACATCCTTTTGGTGATGGTAGATGGAAGTTTCCTGGAATCGGTGAATTCTAATGCTATGACAAGCGCATGTATGCTAAAAATCTTTCATTCCTGTGACAGAAATTTGGTTGCTATTGAACTTTTCCTATTTACAACGTTGTTCCTTTTAGGATGGGCGACCTAAAGATGGCTGTAGGCAAGGAAGGAAAGCCTCAGTGGGGAGGGAAGGGACCACAAAATGCTGGCTGTTACAACAGTCTCCCATCTGAAGTTCCATTCTTTGAAGAGGGAGAGGAAAGCATTCTTTCTGATTATGGGTGTTTTTTCCTTGTATGAAACTGATGGAAGCATCTTGCTTTATTATTTCCCATGAAAAATTTCTGCATAACTGAAGCCTAGTGTAAATTGCATGAAATCATTGTTTGTATTTCATCCTCGAACTACCACATTGTTTCTTTAGCCAGGAAACACTTCTGTGTACGTGCCTGTAAACAACATGGGCCTGCAATATATATTTTCAATCTTTAGTGGAACTTTTCTTATAACTAACTCTATTTGCTTCTAGGGGTTATACTTGCAGACTGTTTGCTACTGGAGTCTTAAATACTCTTACGCAACATGATTAAAAGTAGATGCAATTTGATTAAGAATGAAATGCATTGATGCTTGTCTTCTGGAAAGAAAAAAAAATCATCATAGGATGTACTGGTTAGTAAACTAAGGACAATTATGGATGTATAAGTGGAAATTTAAATCATGTATGGTTCTTTATCATGCAATACTTGGCATAACATAATTAAACTTATTGGAAAACAATGTGGAGCTTAGGAGATCTGACAGTGGCTTGACTTGTTGTAGGAATGGTACAGTGGTCGGTTGCTCCATCATGCAGATGATATTCTTGCAAAGGCAGCTAACATTCTGAAGAAATATCAAGAATAGAAGCAAACTTCTATTCTATTGGCAGCTAAAATTGGTGGTACCAGATGAGAGCACAGCCTGCTGAATTGACAGCTTGAAACTACAGCAGTGCTCTTAAAGATGGTTATGATCATGTTGCTTCAATTTTGTCTCGTCATGGAGCTGCTTTGCATGTTTCGTAAGATTCCAAGTTTTAAGGTTCTGACTAGAATTTTGTTCATTGTCTAACCTGATAATTAGGGTTGCTTACACATTCGCTTGATTTCAAATGTATCTATCTACCATGTTCACGTACTAAATATTTTATTGCAGCAGCTTAGAAATGATGGATGGTGATAACCCGGCATCCTATCTTTGCAGTCCAGAAGGATTACTCCAACAGGTACGGGGCCTGTTAATTAATAACACTTCCTTAGCTTGTGCTTTGTTGGTACTTTTTTTAACTTACTTTAGAAATTTTATCTGTATAATTCAAGCTTTTAAGTTAGGTAGGACTAACCCATGTAGCTGTGCTTGTCACAGCAGGTCGTGCAGGGTCTCTAGGTTCAACATGGGCTTGGAACGGGCCAATATGAGCTTTTTCAGTATTACAGATATTAGGTATTGTTGATATGTTTTTTAGGCTTCTTTTAGTGTCTTATAATTCATTCTGAAGTAAATCTTTAGTTTTAATTGGGTTGTCTTGCCCAGATAATAAAGAAGAAACATATGACAAGTTGATCAATAACCATTTTTCTGTTTTATTGAAGTTTGGAATATAATTGATAATTTGATATTACTAAACAACAAAAATAGAATTGCATCACTATACCGTATATTAGTGTCGTACTACTTTAGATTGGCATGGTCTGTCCATTTACACTGGTGGGTGGTGGTAGTGCCTAGTGGTGGCTTCTGTTGTCTAGAATTCTATCGGTCATTTGGTTTCTTCGATAAAATGTCTGACCTTATGCTTTGTTTATTGGGTATATATCATATTATACAATTCCAATGTAGTCTAACATGATTCGATTTGCACCAGATATGGAGTGTTTCAAAGAAATGGGCACATTTGATCGGGAGAAATACCAATGAAGGATTTGACAGGGTCAGTTCTTCCTTTGCTCAAGAACAAAAGCAAATTTCAGCTACCATTTATTTCTATTAGACATATATTGGAGACTTGGGAGCAGCCTCTCCATAAATGGAGATAAGGTTAGCCGACATTCACCTCTCCCAGACCCTGCGTAAAGCGGGAGCCTTGTGCACTGGGTACGACCTTAGACATATATTGGATATTGCAAATGTCTTATAACTAGAAACACATGGCTTCTGATAGCGTTAGTTAAACACTTCTTCTTTTGCCCATTCTGTGTTGCGCGTTCACGCGTCTGCTTTTCTCTTGCACGTTGGTTTATGGCAAATACATACTAACTATTACCATTCCCAGGCCGAAGCTGTAAGATCATTTACATATTTCAGAATGAATGATAAGATCTTTAGGGCTGAAAATTGGAGTAATTTCCTTCCTTTTGTTAAAAAGATGAGCACAAATTGGTGAAGCAACCAAAAAACCCAACTTAAATACTAAATTTATTGATCTAGAGTAGCAGCCTCACTACCCTATAATTTTTTGTCAAGGGCATGTGTAGAAGTTAAGAAGTTTGTCACTTCCTGATATATTGACTGAAATAACTTTGTGTTTCCATGGCAGGCGTTCTTGACCTGGAAGTGTAAATTTTTGAAACGGATTTGGTTGGCCGTAGAAACTAAATGCTTTACTATCAAAATACGAGAAGAATAATTGGAATTGCAATCTTGGTACTACTGGTCACATTGCCTAGTCAAATACAGGTACAACATTTCAATTTAAGGAATATACACATACTGTCATATCCGTCACTATACGAAAATAATGTAGTCTTTGCAGATCGAAAACAACAATAAGAAAATGGATCCGAAAATATAGAGAACAAAAAGAACTAAGAGTTCACTCCTTCACAGTCCTTCAAATACTTAGTCTTGATTTTGGTGAGTGTGATTGCAGCATCTTCTTCACAGTCCTTCAAAAACTTAGTCTTGATTTTGGTGAGTGTGATTGCAGCATCTTTCATGTTAATCCTCTCTCCCGGCAATGCTGCAGTACAAGCTAAAGCTAATCTCATAACGGATGATAAGCAATCCCTCTTGCTCACAAAATCACCATCTTCCTCCGCCCCAAGTATATCGGCATCCACAACTTCACCTATTGCAGCATCTGGAAATAATGAATCTGCAATCCATTGCTTTAAATTCATTTCCCCAACAAACATCTCATCCGTTGGCTTCCTTTTTGTGAATGTCTCCATGAGTACAATACCAAAACTATACACATCCCCTCTTGTCGAAACGCTTCCTTCCATCCCAAACTCTGCAAAATTTGTATGTGAATTTAGTTATATATGATAAAAAGAAAATTATAACTCCTAATAAGACCAACATATACAAAATTGAGAAAATACATCACCTGGAGCCATATATCCAACTGTGGCTAGGGTCATGGTTTCTGTCATCGAATGTCCACCGCCGATGAGTCTTGCAATGCCAAAATCAGCAACATGTGCAACCATATCATCATCTAGTAGTATATTGCTTGGTTTCACATCACAATGAACAATAGGTACCGAGTAACCATGATGAAGATATTCCAGTGCCAATGCAACATCTTTCATTACGTCCAGCCTCTGCAGGATATTCATGGAGCTGTTTGGAGAATACAACCAGTTTTCGAGGCTTCCATTAGGCATCAATTGAAGTATCAGGGCTTTGAAATCAAGTTCATCGCAGCAACTTATGATTTTAATAAGATTCCGGTGACGGATATTGCTTAGCATTTCACATTCCCTATCAAAACTTTTGAATGCCCCTTCTACCTGTAAATTGAAAACCTTGACGGCAATGTCTATCCCGTATGAAAGTGTTCCTCTGTATACTGAGCCAAAACCCCCCGTGCCTAGTAAGTTACTCTCGTGAAATCCATTTGTCGCATTTACAAGTTCTAGGCGCGAAACTCTTCTCCAAAGAACTTGATGTAGCGAGGCAGTTTCTCTTACAACTTCGACATTCCTTTTGTTGCATAGTATCAGAATCAATGCAGCGGCCGCTAGGAGTATTACTGGTATGACCCCTGAGATGATATATTTAGCTTTCCTCCAATTTGGCTTAACTTTTGTTCTATTTTTGCACAGGGGAACATGGAGTCGGGAAGCACCGCAGAGCGCACCGTTGGATACAAATGAATCGGCAGAGAAGTTTCCGAAAGGCCCGCCGGTTGGAATTTCTCCTTGGAGTTTGTTGAAAGACAAATTCAGATGCTTGAGATACAAGAGTGCTTCCAATGACTTTGGGATCTCTCCAGATAGATTATTTTGGGACAAATCCAAGAATTCTAGGCTTAGCAAGGTTTTAAATGAACTGGGAATAGGGCCTTGTAAATAATTGTTTGCCAAGGACAAATTAATCATATTTTGAAGACCACCAATGCTACCGGGAATGTTTCCGGAGAAGTGGTTATTTGATAAATCTATATCCACCACTTCTTTCAACTTTCCGATGTCTTCTGAGAGTGGTCCAACTAGAGAATTGGATGACAAGTTTAGGTGCAATACATACTTGAGTTCCCACAAGGAAGATGGTATTTTTGAAGTTAACAAATTGGACTCTAACGATAGATTTCTTAGAGCTACTGCCAAACCACCCAAGCAGGAAGGAATAGAACCAGAGAGCCGATTATGACCCAAACCTAACTCGGCTAGGTTGGTTAGTTGACAGAGTTCATACGGGATATGTCCTTGCAGTTTGTTATCATACAGAAACAAACCTTGGAGATTTTTTAGCCTCTGTATTGATGTTGGAATTGCTCCACTCAACTGATTGATTTCCAGATGTAGTTCTATCAAGCTGCTCAAGTTGGCAATATCAACGGGAATGTTACCCCTGATGTTGGAAATGCTTAAATCAAAATATGTGAGTGGCGTAGAGAGATTCCCACGAAAAGCTGGAATCGTGGTGTTTAATGGATTACCTCCCAAGTCTAATTTTGTCAAATTTCTAAGATTAAACAAGCAAGAGAGAGTAGAAGCATCAATCGTCAAATGATTCCAGAACAAGAAAAGAAGCTCGAGGTTTTTCAAGGAACAGAGCGTGCTAGGAAGAAACCCGGTAAATGAGTTTGTGTCCATGGCTAGGACCCTGAGCTTGGAAGCATTGGAGAAGTTAGGGAGTGTCCCGGCCACGAGGTTATTGGAGGATACAGAAAAGAATTCTAGGTTTGGAACATTAAGACCTATGTTTGCTGGGAGGCCACCTGAGAGCTGATTTAAAGTAAGCGATATTACTCTAATCATGGAGTTATTGAAGAGCTTGGATGGGATGACACCATTGAGATTATTAGCACCCAATCTCAAAACCTCTAACTGCGGAAGATCACCAATCTCATCCGGTATTGTACCTATCACAATGTCAGCACGTTTGCATTAACTTTGTAACTTCGGTTTATCTAAAAACTAAAAACGAAATGATTGTAAAACGCCCCCAAATTTATTACCTGTTAAATTATTGAAACGAAGAAAAATCTCGGTTAAGTAGGTCAAATTGCCAAGACTTTTGGGTATGCTCCCACGGAAATTGTTAGACTCTAATGCAATTACACGAAGCTCTTTGCATTGCCACAGTTTGGAGGGAATCAGACCGTCAAACTGGTTTTGATTCAAAGAAAATCGTTGAATACTCGAAAGATGCTCACACATATTGTCCGGAAGAATACCACTCATGTTGTTTCCGGATAAAGCCAAAGTAGTCAAAGAAGATATGTTAAGGACAGGCACAAAAGCAGAGCCTTTAGGGCATTGTCCTGCACAAACAACTCCTCCAACTGACCTAAACTGCCTATCTCGTTCGGAAGTTCTATAAAATCAATCCGTGTATATTGTTAAAATCATGTATACATATATAGGAGCAGCTTCTTATTGGGAATCCCGTTGTACCATAGCAAAAGTGGGATACATTCTAAGGACCATGTACTCACCATATAGGACCTCTTTTTTGCTCTAGAATACGAGGGTCTTACACGGTCAATATACGATCCTACAATAGTCCTCTCATCTCATTTTTTGCCGAAGTTGAACAAGATCCCAGCTAAGAAGGGGCTTGTGTTTATGTGTGTGTGTGTGTGTTTGTATATATATGTAACAAAACCTCAGTCATACAGTATACCTTCGAACTTGTTGTCGTCAAGGTATATGCCCTTCACCATTGTTAAGTTGCCTATTTCTCTGGGTATACTACCTGTTAAATATGTGCATGCATTCCAACAAAAAAGAAGGAAAAAAAAAAACAAACGAGATGATTGTTATACATCTTATATATAGAGGTTAAAATGAAACAAAGATGTTAAAATGTAATGATGAAGCAAGCAACATTAATTTATATTCCTAGGTAGTTGGTAATGGTGGTATGTACGTACCCGATAGTTGGTTCCTCATCAGGTAAATGTTTTCGAGTGCAGATAAGTTGAAGATAGCAGCGGGTATGAAACCAGAGAAGTCATTATCGTACAATTTGATGGTTTGAAGTTTAGCAAAGGACCCAAACCACAAAGGAATGGTTCCCATAAAGCTGTTGTTTCCAAAGTTAATCGCCTTCAACCGGCGCAAACGAGACAGTTCTTGCGGTAGGGGACCATGAAAACTATTATTCTGAAGGCCCAACTCAACGAGAAATGAGAGGTTGCCAAGATGCGGAGGAATAACTCCGGCAAGACCCATGTAAGGGAGATTTAAGGCCGTGACTCTGTGGTGGCGAGCACCGCAGGTAACGCCAACCCAGTTGCAAATGTTGGAATTGGAGGCAGAGGACCAGTTGGCGGTCAAGATGTTTTGAGGGTCACTAGTGATGTGAGCCTTGAGAGCAAGAAGCGCAGATTGATCTGTGCTGAAATTGGTATGAGCTATTGCTAATGCTCCTGCAGTTAAGTAATTAGCCACAATCATCATATAGATATAACACAAGCATTGTATCATCGACAACATCTTTGATAGTAGGAAACGACTTCTCTCCTTAATTGTAGTAGTTTTCGTCTTTCGGTATAAATTCGATCGAAAACTAGAACTCATTACATTCACATAAATAGGGAAACAAGTTGGTGTTACCAAGACTTGTGAACGACTTTTGTACTGGTTTGATACTGAGGTGCTTTTATAAAAAATGGGTATAAAAAAAAAAGATGAGCTCAAAAAGGTGTTTGGTAAACACTTAAAAACAGTTTATTTTCACAGTTTTGGGTGAAAAAAAATTAAAAGCGTGAAGCAGCAAAAATAAGCTTATTCTCACAGCACAACATAAACAGTTTTTTTTTTCAAAGCACAGCAATACCAAACCAGCCCTTAGACTTGCCCGGCTTCTATGTCAAGGTGAGGAGACTTTAGATTTTTTAACATATCAAACACACACCATTCATTTTTTGCTGATGGCGTAGGTAGGTGAGGAGGAATGGTGACTGCGATGTAAGAGAGATTCAAGGCCACGACTTGAATGTGGCATACCAACCCAGTTGCAACTTTCAAGTGAGCAATCAATGCTAAGGATGTTTTGGTCTGTGGTGGTGATATTTGGTAATTCGCTGATAGGTTAGCTAGGTGAGGAGGTCTAGTCTAAGTCCGACTTTTTTGTCGAAGTGAGGACTTAGAATAGTGGAACGAAGGCTTGTGATTTGGTAATTGGTGCTGCCAGCCGACGAGTTCTGTCCATTTTGTGGGCATAGCTGGAGATGCCCAAATGTGGAATTTTAGTCTTCAGTTCACCATCAAAACAAACAATACCATAAATTTCAAGATTGATATTTAATGATGACATACATTTTGATTCAAATGCAAATGCAAATGCGACCAAACACATGACAGTTACATTCTTCCGGATGAAATGTTTTCGACGACGTTTACATATAATCAAGCTCTAGTTGAACACTCTTCGGATTCGAAAATCATCTAAACTTGGCTAATTAGTCAAGAATTACGGTCTTATGCTTCTAAATTATTAATCACGATCGCATGTATAAATTCATTGCAGCAATAACGAAGAAGGGAAGTAACAACCAGAGATTGAAAACTAGTTCAGATACGTACATTCACTATCATGCAGACTTGCCATTGGAGACAGCTCTGAATATGCAAAGGTTTTTTATAGGAAAAATTAGTATCCGGTCCCTAGTTCTTACTGTTCATTGATTAAGACCTTATTAGTTCTCAAATTTTGATTCAAGTCCCTAGCAATAATGTGATAATGAATTTACATGTTTATTATATAATTTTTTAATATAAAAATTAGTAATTAATTTAGGGTTTAATACTCACACCTCTATTAAACTTCTAATTAATTTTCAATTCAAACATTTCCAAAATAATAAAAAATTAAATTAAATTAAGTTTGTACCTATTACTTTATATATATATATATATATATATATATAAAGATTCTCAATTTTTTAATCTTAAATGTACCCATTCATATAATTTTTCAATTTTTTTAATCTTAAATGTACCCATTCTCAAATACATCAATTTGTTATATGTAAAATGTACCCTTTTTTTTAATATAAAATCCATTCAAATTTTTTAATCCATGTTTAAACTTATATGGGTACATTCTTTTTCGTTGATTTGAGAATGTATCCATGTTTTGATACAATAACTTTTTTTGTTAATTTTGGTTAATGTACCCATACATATATGTACACACACAATATAATAGAGGGTATAATTTATATTTTATTATTTTTAATCCCATAAATTATGGGTTTTATTTAAAATCTCATTAATATAAACAATTACAAATTTCAATTTTTAATTTTTAATTTAAAACATATAGTAACTTACATTATTATATTAATGTCAGGACCTCAATCAAAAACTAAAAACTAACAAGGTTTCAATTAAAAAATATTGATAGCTAGGGAACGCATCCAAAGTGTCCATTTTTTATATGACTTCAACAAGAGAGGACATACCATGCTTAGAGATGAAGCAGGCCTGCACCTGCAAGCCACGGTGGTAATCGAATTCCAGTGAAAGGGAACAAAACTCCAGCCGCCACCGGCATGCTGAGGATATTGTAGCCCAGGGCCCAGACATAATTCAATCGAATTTGAGACATGGTCTTTCTAGAGAGATCAATGGCTGTAACTACATCTTCCAAGTTGCTCTTCCTCAGAACTATAAGCAGCTTCTATAACTACGTCGGTGCCCGCACCAATTGCCATACCAACATGTCCTGCAACCATTGCCGGAGAGTCATTAATTCAATCTCCCATCATTGCCACCACCATTCCTTTCATCTGCATCCAAATCCACTTTAACAAGTCAGAAAACACTATGTAAGATAGATAACTCACATATCAAGTCAGAAACAAACTTAATATAGAAAAATGAGTTTGAAGATTGTTTGCAAGGTTTAGCAAGGTTTTAAATGAAATAGGAATAGGGCCTTCTAAATGATTGTTTGCCAAGGAGAAATCAATCATATTCTGAAGACCCCCAATGCCACCGGGAATGCTTCCGGAGAAATGGTTATTTGATAAATCCATATCCACCACATCCTTCAACTTTCCGATGTCTTCTGAGAGTGGTCCAACCAGAGAATTGGATGACAAGTTTAGGTGCAATATATACTTGAGTTCCCACAAGGAAGATGGTATTTTAGAAGTTAACAAATTGGACCCTAACGGTAGAAATCTTAGAGCTACTGCCGAAGTACCCAAGCAGGAAGGAATAGAACCAGAGAGCCGATTACCATCCAAACGTAACTCGGCTAGGTTGTTTAGTTGACAGAGTTCATACGGGATATGTCCTCCCAGTTCGTTATCATACAAATACAAACCTTGGAGATTTTTTAGCCTTTGTATTGAAGTTGGAATTGCTCCACTCAACTGATTGTTTCCCAGGCTTAATGATATCAAGCTGCTCAAGTTGCCAATATCAACTGGAATGTTACCCCTGATGTTCGAATTTCTTAAATTAACATATAGGAGTGACGTAGAGAGATTCCCACGAGAAGCTGGAATCATGGTGTTTAGTGGATTTCCTGCCAAGTATAATCTTGTCAAATTTCTAAGATTAAACAAGCAAGAGAGAGTGCTTGCTGCTTATGGAGTAGAAGCATGAATTGTCAAATTATTCGAGTGCAGGTTTTTCAGGGAACATAGCGTGGTAGGAAGAATCCCGGTAAATGAGTTTGTGTTCATGTCTAGCTTCCAGAGCTTGGAAGCATTGGAGAGGTTAGGGAGTATTCCAGCCACGAGGTTACTTCTGGCTACATAAAGGATTTCTAGGTTTGGACCGTTAAGAGTCTTAACTTAAGACCGCTGTTTGCTGGGAGGCTACTTGAGAGCTGATTGAAAGAACGCCCTATTTCTCTTATCATGCAGAGATTGAAGAGTTTGGATGGGATGACGCCACTGAGATTATTAATAACAAGTCCCAAAATCTCTAACTACGGAAGATTACCAATATCATCCGGTATTGTATCTGTTATAATTTCAGCACATTTGCATTAAATTTTTAACTTCAATTTAACTAAAAACTAAAAGCGAAATGATTATCAAACAATCCTAAATTTACTACCTATTAAATTATTGTCATTAAGATAAATCTTGGTTAAGTAGGTCAAATTGCCAAGACTTTTGGGTATGCTTCCAAGGAAATTGTTAGACCCTAATAAGATTTCACAAAGCTCTTTGCATTGCCACAGTTTGGAGGGAATAAGACCGTCAAACTGGTTTCGACCCAAATTAAATCGTCGAATACTCAGAAGATGCTCACATATATTTTTCGGAAGACTGCCACTAATATTGTTTCCATATGGAGCCAAAGTAGTCAAAGAAGATATGTTGAGGACAGGCACAATAGCAGAGCCTTTTAGGGCATTGGACTGCGCATACAACTCCTCCAGCTGATCTAAACTACCCATCTCGTTTGGAAATTCTATAAATCAATCAGTATATATTGTTAAAATCATGTAAACATATATAGGAGTTGCTTCTTATTAGGAATCCTGTTCTACCGTAGCAAAAGTGGGATAATATTATAAGGACCATGTACAACTATATAGGTTCTCTTTTTGCTCCAGCATACGAGGGTCTTACATAGTAAATATACGATCCCTATGATAGTCCTCTTATTGTATTTTTGCTAAAGTGGAACGAGATTCCTGCTAAGAAGGGGCTCGTATCTAAACTACTTACTACCTCAATCAAAACTACATGAAATTACAATTTTAACACCCAAACCAAAACTGCACAAAAATAAAAAAAACTATGGGTAATTTAGTAAGGGCTGTGCTATCCACACACCCCATTTTACTTCTCACACACCCCTTGATAATTTATGTATGTTGATATTCTTCAATTGATTCGATCCGACGGCCGAAAATTAAAAAGGTTTGTGAGAAGTAAAATGGGATGTGTGCATATCACACCCCTTTAGTAATTACATGAACATAACTTTTGTTGTTATTTAGGGCAACCTCACAGCTAGGTCACCATAGCATGCCATATTTAAAAATTAAAAATAAAATAAAATAGTAAATAAAAAACATGCCTACTTTAGAAGAAACTGCTCATCATTTTCCCAATTTTTATAAGGGGTGTGCTATCCACACATTTTTTTACTTCTTACACATTCCTTGTTAATTTATGTCCGTTGATCTTCTTCATTTTATCCGATACTACGGCTGAAGATTAGAAGGGTGTGTGAAAAGTAAAAAGGGTGTGTGGATATCACACCCCTTTTTTTATAATTGATTTATTGTTTTAGAATTTTAAAAACTAATCACACTACTTAGTAAAAAAAACAAAATGAAATGAAATTATACAAAACCTAAGTCATACAGTATACCTTCGAACTTCTTGTCGTCAAGGTTTATGCAATTCACCATTGTTAAGTTGCCTATTTCTCTGGGTATGCTACCTGTTAAATATGTGCATGGATTCCAACAAAAAAGAAGGCAAAAAAAACGAAGGAGATGATTGTTATACATCTTATATATAGATGTTAAAATGTAATCATGAAGCAAGCAACATTAATTTATATTCCTAGCTGTTGGTAATGGTGGTACGTACGTACCTGATAGTTGGTTCGTGCTCAAACTAATCATTTCGAGTGCAGATAAGTTGAAGATAGCAGCGGGTATGAAACCAGAGAAGCCATTACCGTACAATTTGATGGTTTGAAGTTTAGGAAAGGACCCAAATCACGAAGGAATGGTTCCCATAAAGCTGTTGTTTCCAAAGTTAATTGCCTTCAACCGGCGCAAACGAGACAGTTCTTGCGGTAGGGAACCATGAAAGCTATTATTCTTAAGGCCTAACTCAACGAGAAATGAGTGGTTGCCTAGATGCGGAGGAATAACTCCGGCAAGACCCATGTGCGAGAGATTTAAGGCCGTTACTCTGTGGTGGCGAGCACCGCAGCTAACGCCAACCCAGTTGCAAATGTCGGAATTGAAGGCAAACGACCAGTTGGCGGTCAAGATGTTTTGAGGGTCACTAGTGATGTGAGCCTTGAGAGCAAGAAGCACAGACTGATCTGTGCTGAAATTGGTATGAGATATTGCTAATGCACCTGCAGTTAAGTAATTAGCCATAATCATCATATAGATATAACATAAACAGTGTATCATCGACAACATTTTTGATGGTAGGAACCGACTTCTCTCCTTAATTGTAGTAGTTTTCGTCTTTCGGTTTAAATTCGATCGAAAACTAGAGCTCATTACATTCACATAAATAGGGAAACGAGTTGGTGTTACCAAGACTTGTGAACGACATAGACTTGCCCGGCGTCTATGTCAAGGTGAGGAGACTTAGACTAGTCGAACGAAGACGAGTGGCAAGGAACACCTACCATTCATTTTTTGGATTTTTTAACATATCAAACACACACCATTCATTTTTTACTGATAGCTTGAAGGTGGCGTACGCCGTAAGCAACACCTACCAATTGCAACTTGGAAGTGAGCAACGAGTGGTAAGGATGTTTTGGTCTGTGGTGGTGATATTTGGTAATTGGTGCTGCTAGCCGACGAGTTCTGTCCATTTTGTGGTCACGGCTGGAGATGCCCAAATGTGGAATTTTAGTCTTCAGTTCACCATCAAAACAAACAACACCATAAATTTCAAGATTGATATTTAATGATGACATACATTTTGATTCAAATGCAAATGCAAATGCGACCAAACACATAACAGTTACATTCTTCCGGATGAAATATCTTTGCCGACATTTACATATAATCAAGCTCTAGTTGAACACTCTTCGGATTCGAAAATCATCTAAACTTGGCTAATCAGTTTTTTCTGAACAGAACAAACCAAAGATGATACGCAAACGGTCCAAGAATTACGGTCTTATGCTTCTAAATTATTAATCATGATCGCATGCAGACTTGCTATTGGAGACGCTCTGAATATGCAAAGGCTTCTTATATGACTGCAACAAGAGAGAACATACCACGCTTAGAGATGAAGCAGGCATGCACCTGCAAGCCATGGTGGTAATCGAATTCCAGTGAAAGGGAACAAAACTCCAGCCGCCACCGGCATGCTGAGGATATTGTAGCCCAGGGCGACATAATTCAATCGAATTCGAGACATGGTCTTTCTAGAGAGATCAATGGCTGTAACTACATCTTCCAAGTTGCTCTTCCTCAGAACTATAAGCAGCTTATATAGCTATGTCGGTGCCAGCACCAATTGCCATGCCAACATCTCCTGCAACCATAGCCGGAGGGTCATTAATTCCATCTCCCATCATTGCCACCGCCATTCCTTTCATCTGCATCCAAATCGACTTTAACAAGTCAGAAAACACTATGTTAGATAACTCACATATCAAGTCAGATACAAACTTAATATAGAAAAATGTGTTTGAAGATTTCTATAAGACATTATTTTACCCTAGATAAGTCATTTGAAATATAATTTAGTAATCCTCAATCTGCGTTCAAAACCAGAACAAAATTACTTGTGGAGCTGGGTAATTGTAATCCACTCACACCACCCCTGTAACTATTATATAATCGTAACTGTAATTCTTTGATTCTATCAGCTTTTCATAGTGGATCCGTCTCAGCACACCTTATCAATGCCAACCTCCATCGCACTGGCTGCCGCTGTAGCCCAGTTATCACCAGTAACCATGATGCTTGTAATGTTTATCGAGTGAAGATAAGAGATGACTCGTGCAGCCTCTGGCTTCACTGGGTCAGTTACAGCAAAAGACCCAGCAATCTTTCCATCAATGGACACCAACACACACCTTCGAGCCAGATTATCATGTTCTGAAACATACTTGTCAACCTCAGGACCAACCTGGACATTATTTTCCCGCATGAGCCTCAGCAATCACCATTTACCTACATATTTCTCAAATAGAGGCATGTTAGCATGATTGACAAAATAATAACAATAAGTTGTCTCATCTGTAACTTTACAAACTTCAAACTTTTCATGAACAAATTTGAAACATAAGCACCAACCTCTGTGACAATAGACACAGCACAGAACTCCTCCATTGAGTAATTGGAGAAGAGCACAGCATTGACTACTACGGGTTTCCCAACTGTCTCTCTGGTTGAGGCTGCATTCATTTTGACACATGGGAAGGGCTTACTCTCCTAGTGGCTCGGCTTGGTCTCGCTCCCTTCCCGCACTATTCCTCCCCACTAAAAAGATTTGATAATCTCAATAACGTTCAGAAAGGTTATTGAGATAAATCGATGAAATCTTTCAAGCCAGCATGGGGCAAAAGCTATCAAAACGGGTGATTGGGGAAGGAGAGATAGGTCCATTCACGAACACTATTGGTCCCTGTTTCATAAAAAAACAACCGTTTTCACTGGCAGGGATCAAACACGTCCGTAAACATCCAGACACCAACAAGGTGTCAAATACTAAGAAACGTATCAACCTTCATGAATTAGGTACCGTCTGTTCAGCTTTTAATTTTGGAAAGAACAAAAACCCCAAAAAGGACGAAACAATTATTAGCCTTGTTATAAAAAAGGGAGTTGGGGTAAAGAGAACTCTCCTTCAATGAGAGCTGTCATCTACAAGAAATGGGGATATAAAACTTGGCGAGTACGGCTTGGTGACATGGACAAGGTGCATACAGCCATCAATCGTCCAGAACCAAAGGGTCATATGAGACAGATTCCAACTATGAAATAATAGTTGCATGTTCAATCCCAATATATGCAGGAAGAACATCCTCCATACCCAATGACATAGATTGCATTTAGTTTTATGTCACGAGCCTAAACGTTGATCGAACCAAGGCAGAGCGTTTAACTGGTCAGGAATGAAGTCCATAACTTGTTCTCATACGGAACACTAACATAATGTAGGGTGGTAGTATAGGGGATAGTATGAAATGACCAGAACAATATGAGGAGAGCAACTTCATAATGGAGGAATGACGAGAAAAAAAAAACTACACTTGCACCCTCAAGACATATAGAGAATGTATCTAATCAGAAATTGGTTTTTCCTAAACCACAACAAACAGGTTTTCGACGTCCTCAAAGGAAATGTAGGAACAAGTATAATGAAGCAACTAAACACACCAGCAAAAACAACATGAAAATAAAATGCATGAAAACCAGATTCTAAATTAAAAAAGAAATTTGTTTCCAAGGATAAGGTGGTCTTACCTTATAAGCCTTTTCAAGTACACTAGCAAAAATGCCCGCACTCCGCTGCGGGGACTTCTAGAAGTATGATCTTGTACCATTTGATTTCTTTTGCCATTCCTAGTTCTTTTTGGCATCATGTGCAAAACCAAATTGATAGATAAAAAAAGGTCGTACCCAGTGCACAAGGCTCCCGCTTTACGCAGGGTCTGGGAGAGGTGAATGTCGGCTAGCCTTACCCCCATTTATGGAGAGGGCTGCTCCCAAGTCTCGAACCCGAGACCTACCGCTCATGGGCGAAGGCACTTGCCATCACACCAAGTGCGACCTCTTTATTATAATTAAGTAAAAAAATGATAGGTAGGAAGAAAAAAATGAAAACACCTGCATAAATTCAATTTTCCATCACCCCTATATTATAATTAAATAAAGCAAAACATAATAATCATCTCACAATTACAGAAGCAAGGACTTTCAAATGCCCCAATTAGTTAACAGCCACTATGCATAATTCTGAAAAAATGAGTATAAAATTAACCTCTTTTGAAAAACGAAGGAAGAAAGATGAAACCTTAAGCCAAGGAATATAACTATGTTGAACTCAATTATTTGACATTAATTACACAAACCCAATTCCATATATATAGCCAGACAGAAGCTTTATCCTAGAGAGAAACCATGCCCAAATGATTATAATTCAGAGCATAAAAGGGAAGTGAGTTCCTTGGTTCCCACATTGTAGAGACTAAATCTCAAAACTTTGCCAAGCATTACAGGAAACCATGGAAAGAATAAAAATGACCACAAAGATTGCAAAACAATTAACCACAGGTGGTGTTTATATGCCCACTGAGAGAAAAGAGCTTGTGCAAGTGAAAAAACGTATTTATATAAAACAGGCATGCACCATCTGAAAGAGCCTCTTGTATCCATTCCAATTATACTTATGTCTACCATATCCCTCTACAATTCCCCACCACCAATCAACCATAACTGATTTCAATACCCTTAGCTGCTTTAGTAGACCATCTAGTGACACCAACTGCCACCAAAATAAAAGACACGATCAAGACCATACAAATTACAGACTAAGCTTAAAAACAACGGTTATCTATTAAGCAAAACTTGGAACTCCTTGACATGGCAACCTCTTAATCCAGGATGTAGAGTAGAAAAGCAAAATTATTGACAAACCGAAAAATAACAATTTAACTTGCATAGTAAACGAATATTAGTAAAGTTACATAACTCAATGGATTACATAAATCTGTAAAAAAGCGAAACATCAGTGTTTGGGAAGTTACCTTATTTGAAATGTCAGGAGCATCTGGTGTACATACAGGGTAGACAGTCCTTGCAAAATTCAGGGCTTCAAAATAAAATAAAATAATAAATTCAAAAGAAATCAAAACTATTAATCCTAACAACTGTTTAGTAAAGGATAAAACAATCTTTCCATCAAGCAAATTTGAGAAACAAGTAATGAATGGAATAACCCAATTTCTATCGCCAATCACCCTTGCTGAGTGATGATTCACATACTTCCTCATATTTGTTTATGGGTTCCTGTCCAACAAAATTTCGACTTAGTACCCAAAAACTGTATCAGCTCACAAACACACAGAGGTTTATCAAATTCAAAGCAAAACCCACATATATTCTCAAGATTCTAGAGTTAAAAGAGGAGCAAGGAGGTTCGGTTAAGGAACCCAAAACGCTATTTTAATGAGCAAATGAATATCTAAACTGGGGTTAACAAGTTTCAGCAATAAAAAACATGTCTTTCGAACGAAGTTGCATAAATTACAGAACTTTGGGATTAAGGAGGAACAAAAAGCCCAAATTCCAATCAAGAAAAAAAAAATGTATGTAAATTTAAGCTTTACCTGTAGATTGGCAGCAGCAAAACATACTGGATCCAACGGGAGCCACGTGTGAGAACTGGATGCCCAGCCTTTGACACGTTATTGAGTGAGTTTAGGGATCTGGGTTTTGTGTTTGCCGTTGAATTTTGGAATGATCTGGAGAAATTTGGGTTTTAGGGTTCTAAGGATTTGAGTGAACTGAAATTGATTTGGATGAGCAACTTTTAGTTTCGATTCGCGGTGGAGCAAGGATGAAGAGGTGGAGGAGGAAGGAATGAAAGACTTAACTTCTAAAGTTTCAAGTGCTCAAGGAAGAAAATATCGGTAATATCGGAAATATCGGTAGTCTGAAAACATGGAAATATCGATGGAAATATCGGGATAATATCGATATCGATAAAAATTACATGGAAACCACGGAAATTGTAAGAAAAACTTGGAAATTTTTATTGAAACTTTGCAGGATGTTTATTTAGTCAATTATCTATTTGTTTATCACAAAAAATTGGAAGGAAAGGCATTACATGATGGATTTAACATTATCAAGTTGATTATATAACGAGCTGACAAACATTGTGAGTGTAGAAAATATGTAGAAATTAATGAAAGAAGTCTAAACACACCATAATCATTTATATATAATGAATTAGTACAATATTTTACACTTTATACATTGCATGGTAAGATACATGAGTGACTTAGTACCACATAGAGTTCCTATGAGGTTCAAAATTTTCACTATCTTCATCATCTCTATGTGTAGAGTGAGTGTATTTTAAAGAGTAGTTAGCAACCATGGCAATGGTTTTCAAGAACCAAAACCCAAAAGTCAATAGGAAACCGAATACTTCGGTATTTTTCGGGATTACCAAACAAATGGGATTTGGAAACCAATCCCATATCGAAAATTTCGGTATTTTTCGGGATGGGATTCCCGAACTTCAGGATGGTTTTGGTTTGGGATTTTTCGGTTTGGGTTTGGGACTTTTTCAATTTGGTTTGGGATTTTCCGGAATTTTTTCCAGCCCTACCATGTAAGTGACCAAATAAAAAATAGAAAAATTAAAAACCACATGCCATTGACTAAGTAATTAATTGATACAATTTAAAATATAATACCACAAAAAATTTGGAATATGTGCAAATTTGTTTCTTGTAAAAAGAATTCAAAACAAAACCATATATATAAATATTGTAGCATATTATCACAACATCATAAGTGGTATAGTGGTTAAGGCGTTAAGGAGGTAAACTCGAGGAGTTCGAACCCTTCTATGCTCAAAATTGAGACTTTTCCAAATTTTCAGGAATTTTTTGACTAATATCGCGATATTTTGACGAAAACTCATTGGATACTCATTAAAATATCGGTAACTCAAAAAAACGAAAATATCGGCGAAATATCGTCGATATTTTGGATATTTTCTTCCATGCAAGTGCTCAACAAATTTCGATCAATGTATGTTTCAATACTTCAAAAAAAGGGACATGCATCAAAGACTTTTAGGTGGAAAAAAATATGCATTGGCTGATGGAGATAATTAGGATTTAAAATGTTAAAAATTTTCTTTTTGGCTCACTAATTAGATGCAAAAGTGAGACTGTGTGAACAATTTTACACCCAGAAACATGAACTACACAGAATCACAACTGATCGAACAATGAGAAAGTATATAAGACAATACACTATCAATAGGCTAAAACACTCTTTTAATTGATCTAACAATAGGCTAAAACACTCTTTTAATTGATCTAACAATAGGCTAATAGGATTAACTAAACCATTAGAGACTGCAACAATGAGAAAGTCTGAAGATTAAAGTTCTAGTTGAATATCTTTGAACCCCTAGGTGTTGGAAACACTTTCAGTAAATTTGTTCAGGAAAATATAGAAACTCATGATGCAATTCCATCGTCTGGGATAGCACATATTTACCTGGAATCCAACATTAAGCTAACATTTTTCATAAGTTTATTCTTTTTGTTAACTACACTGGAATTTATAAAACAATTTTAGAAAAACTCGAGTCTAGATAATGAACTTTTGTTCCAGTTTAAAAAATTTTGACTTGTGTTCTAAGCAACATAATGTATTCACATTTCAATTGTGAAAGGCAGCAATAATCCCCGACTGAAGATATTAAAAATCAGAACTTCTTCTCCAAGTTTTCATTTAGTTTATTTCACTTGTCCATCGGAATTTTATGCAAAGAAGATTAAATAAAGACAATAGCATGCCAAAGATTAAAACCCCTCATTTCAAACTCTGCTAATGCACAACTCTGTTTGGTTTTCTTCCCAGAGACCAGACTGAGTGAGGAGTCAAGTTCTCCAATGCACCAACAATCTCCCGTTCGAGCAGCCATCACCACCTCACTTGCCACTCCGGCGAGGCACCACCTTGCCACCACCCTCATGTCTCACTCCCTTTCTACCACTCTCCTTATTTCCCTCACCTCTTTCTCTCGATACTGTGCTCGCTGCACAGAAACAGCAAGGCAACCACCGTCGCCTTTTTTCACAGCGAACTACACCGTAACGAAACCATCACCATTAATCTCGCTACCTAGGCGAGTTTTACCACCCTCTGCAAACTGCCTTCATGCCTTCTAATTTCAATTCTTGCATTTCTTGTATGGTATCCATGTCTTGCACATTCAAATACTTATATACCGACTGAGAATAACAATATAAATCCCACACCCACCTCTTTTTCCCCACTTGAAAAATCACCTAAAAACAACATTAACCACCATAGTTTAAGAATCCAAACATGGCTCCAAATTTCAATCTAATTAATTAAATTACAGAGGATTCTACCTACCTCATGAAAACAAATATGTTCAGTTAAAGAAATTCCCTAATCATTGCAGTGCATCTTAAACTACTTCTTAACTATGTCAGCCATACCAATCTAATAAAAAATCCATGTTTCAATCGATTCTTATTAATTCCAACTCCAAGTATTTCAGCATCTAGATTATAGAAAAATCATAACAAAACAAAACTCAATCTTGGTGCTAAAGCACACTTCGTTAACCTCACCTTCATCAAGTCCATGATTCCTGCCATGAGATCTTTCTCTTAATCCAGACTTGGCTTCAGATGCAAGATCAAAATAACGAAGCATTCAGTTCCATTTCTACGCACAGCAAATTAAAAATTGAAATATGTTATAATTTACTCGGAATCTTCATAAGTATCATGAAAGCATATAAACAGATACATTTGAAAACTGATAAAGCTACCTAATTAAGTTGAAAAGTCGCTAATTAAGATCAAGTGCCAGTGCATCCAGTGAGCCTTCCAAGGAAAGATGGCCCCATGGACTTAGACCTTGAAAACTAAGGCTTGTTTTGCCTTGTAATTGTATGATCAGTAGCATTCTTATGGATTGTAATTGTATGATCAGTAGTATCTGAAAGATATGATTTCTGAAACTCAACTCAATGATTTGAGTGAGCCAATTAGTATTGATATATATAGCATTACAAAGTAGACATGTAGTAGAATATAGAAAGTTCAATTACAAGCAGTATCGGAAACAAATTACTAATCAAACTAGAACTCGGCTGCTGCTCAAGTATCTGTATAGGAATGAACATCTTGAGCGGAGAATGATGGAACATCCTTGTTCTTGTGGGAGACTGGTTTATCACTCCCCCGCAAACTGACAGGGAGGCCACGAACTGGTAGTTTGGAGAGCATAAAAGTAAAGCGGGCAGCAGAGAGACCTTTAGTAAGAAGATCAGCCAGCTGGTCAACAGAGGAGACATAACCAATAGTGAGTTCATTGCGAGTGACCTTTTCCCGAACATAATGATAGTCCACCTCCACATGTCGCATGCGTTGTTGATAGACGGGATTAGAGGCTACAGAAATGGCACTGATGTTGTCGCACCAGATGCGGGGAGGAGCAAGCGGGAGATGAAGCTCTCGAAATAAGGTGCGATACCAAGAGAGCGCCGTAGCAGTGAACGCAAGCTGGTGGTATTCAGCTTCGGTGCTGGAGCGAGAGACACCTCGTTGTTTCTTGGAGCTCCAGGAAATAAGGTTATCACCAAGGAAAATACAATAGCCACCAGTAGAACGACGGTCGTCAGGATCGCCGGCATAGTCCGCATCAACATAGGCAGTGAGGTGAAGGGGACTCGGTTTGTAAACAATGCCATGATTCGGAGTCGCTTTAAGGTAACGGAGGATGCGTTTAACAGCAACCTAATGGATTGTGGTTGGCCGATGCATGAACTGGCAAACCTGATTTACAGCAAAGGCGATATCAGGACGAGTGAAAAGAAGATATTGCAAGGCCTCTACAACACTTCGGAATTCTGTAAGATCAGACAATAGTTCTCCATCTGATAAGATGAGGCGTCGACCAGGAATAGTGGGGGCCGAAATAGGCTTGCAGTCCAGCATATTAGTACGTTTAAGAAGATCAGTGATATATTTTGCTTGAGTAAGATGAAGGCCGGCAGCAGTATGATGAACTTCCATTCCTAATAAGTAATGAAGGGGGCCAAGATCCTTCATGGAAAAAAGAACGCCCAGCTGTTGAATTAAGCGAGCAATATGATCCGTGCTATTACCAGTAATAAGGATGTCATCCACGTATATTAACAAGTAAAGGATGACAGAGCCATCAAAGAAAGTAAACAATGAAGAGTCGACATGAGAAGAAACAAACCCCAAATGTTCCAAGTGTTGGGAAAAGCATTGGAACCATGCACGAGGAGCTTGTTTAAGGCCATATAGAGACCGTTGTAATTTGCACACATGAATGGGACGTTGAGAATCAACAAATCCTGGAGGTTGGCGCATATAGACATCTTCATTTAGAGAACCATGAAGGAAAGCGTTTTGGATATCGAGTTGCTGAAACGGCCAATTGTAGTGAATAACAATGGAGAGAATCAGCCGAATGGTGGCATGATTGACGACGGGGCTGAACGTCTCACCATAGTCCAAACCTTCTTGTTGATGAAACCCATTGACGACTAACCGTGCTTTGTATC